GAACTTTCAAGGGCTGTATTTGTACCAACATTTGTTTCAGGTTCTGTATGAAATACTACTTGATATTTAGGGAAAAGGAGGAGGGCGCCTTGCACATTAAAGAAAAACAATATAGCGAATTTGAACACGTCATCATATGGGTCCTTTCAGTATGGCACCATGATGAGATCAACCTCTGGAGGTGAGAGGGAGAGGATTACCTCCCTTGAAACCGAGATACAGAGCCGGATCAGTCGCCTGGGCACCTGATTCAGTAATGAAAGTGTTAGGAGTGCATAGATATGTCAAATCACTATTGAACAAAAAACAGAATATATTTCATCTTGTTTGCATCACAAAATGTATAATGGGTATATTTACATTGTCAACAGGCACATTACACGTAAATAGATACATATTCAGTATCAAACGGATCAAGAATACAAAATGTTGACATTTTATGTGATACAAAAAGGCTGAAACAAGGGATGTTTATAGTGAATCGACGCGTCTCTAAATCATGCATCAGTTGTACGCATCAAGCATTCACTCTTGCTTCACAAAGGAATAAGAACCTATACGGAAACGTCGCATCATGGTATATAAGTTGTCATCCATAAGGTACTATGCCTTTCTTATTATTCACCAAGTTACTAAAATGCCAATCAAACAGAGCATCAACCATTGTTGACAATTTACATCACGGGTCATATGAATCACAATCAATTATCATTAAAATGAATTCACTGACATGAACATGAACGTTTTGGTTGGCTGGTTGGTTGGTTGGTTGGTTGGTTGGTTGGTTGTTGATTAAGGCCGCACTCCAGTTCTATTATGGCGGTCTGTTAAAATGGAATCTCGACCAGACCATCAGGTTTCTGGCACCATCACATATCCGCACTCGATTCGAACGACCACCGGGCCCTACCTACTGGTCCCGTTAATCGGCAATGAATGTCGCCCTTTGTCCACATGCTTGGTGATTATTTTGAACAACTAATTTCTAATGTTTGGGTTATGTACAGTTTGTTTTCACTCTGACTAAACAAAAGTTACAGATGGATTATTTCCAGTCCAGTTCTCTGAACAGTTTTCTGTCCGGACAAAATTAGCATTTTATATTGGGTCCATGTTAAACATGGATATGGAATTCCTTCTATCAACGTTCATGTCAGCGAAGTGAAAACTCAGTTCACAGGTACGTCTTCCATTTCCAGAATCCTGTAGAACTTCCTCGTGGGGATTGTCCTCCAGATGACCTTGACACCGTATCTCGATCTGACCTTTCTGTGTCTGTCCCGAACTCTTTTCCTAGCCCACCACGTGTTCCAACATCCGTACTGCCCTGTCCGTAGCTTGTCATGTCACCATCAGCTCCGCAATGACCCGTGGACGTATTGAAGGCGTCAGTAGTCCCAGGGACAGATAACCGACTGTATGGAGGTGGAGGTTCTGTAGCTTGGGGAGGAATCGGTGTGGCACACCAAACTGAACCGCCCTTACTAAAGTCAGTTAGGTTGGTGTTATGGGTCCATGCCTCTCCAGCTGAACATGGAGGACCGGGTTTGAACCTGATATTTGCTGTGTGTTTTCCTGCTGTTGAGGTTTCCTGGACATTGGTGTTAGATGCGCTGACCTTCGCCTTCTGATGCTTCCTTTAACAAAGAAACATTACTGAGTGAGTGAGTGTGTTTAGTTTTACGCCGCACTCAGCAATATTCCAGCTATATGGCGGCGGTGTCTAAACAATTGAGTCTGGATCAGAGAATCCAGTGATCAACAGCATGAGCATCGGTCTACGCAATCGGGATACGATGACATGTGTCAACCAAGTCTGCGAGCCTAACCATCCGATCCTATAAGTCGCCTCTTACGACAAGCATGGGTTATTGAAGATCAATTCTAACCCGGATCATCACGGATGAAACATTACTGACTGCTTGAGTTATGATATCATAGTATTCTGAAGTTACTCTTGTAAGTAACGAATGTTTACACATGCTTCACCCTAATATTTTGAAATTAAAATAAGAACGATCTAGCTAAATTGCTTTATTATATACTCATGTAAACTTAGGACGTGGTCAAATTCCGTATTGCACCCCAGATTCCGTGTTAAACCCCTGCCGGTTCTGTTTTATTAAGTAACAGATTAATGCAAGATAAGAAAAGTATATAATATAGAACGCCATACTGGTGCATTTGGATGTTTCGTATTGAACGAGAAGATGTCAGGGGAGCAGAGAAACAACGAGTTCGAAAGAGCTCTTCGAACTCGTTTCTTTGCTCCAATGACATCTTCCCGTTCAATACAAAAACATCCAAATGTACTAGTATGACGTTCTATATATGTATGTCTTCGATTCACACGTGGACCATTCTTTATCACTTTAGAACCGCACTCACCATTTCCCGTAGAAGTACGCAGCAACAACCACTGCTACGACTGCTACGACAGAGACCACAACACCCGCAACTACAGCCAATGGGAAATCTGAATAACAAACATGTAATAGAGATATGGTTTGAATAGTAATCAGTTGTATAATCAGAGTTTTATCTTAAAACCAATCTTACATCGAACTCCAAACAGTGCAATAACGTTTTGTTTTCGTTTTATTTTTATTTTGTTTTGTTCTTTTGTGTGTGTGAGTTTTTTATTTGATTGTTTGTTGTTTAGCACCTCGCTAGTAATATTCCAGCACTAACATGGTGGTCTGTAACAATGGAGCCGGGACCAGACAATCCGGTAATTGACATCATGATCATTTATCTATGCAATTGGGATACGATGACATGTGTGAACCGAGTCAGCGAACCAGACCACCCGATACCGTAAGTAGCCACTTACGACAAGCATGGTTTGCTGAAGACCAGTTCTAATCCGGATTTTCACAGGTATGTAATAACTAGTAAGAGGAATATTTTTGGAATGATCAAAAAGTATTTCATCAACTGTTACATAGTAATTGCATCTGGCATTGCCTGTGTGTGCTGTTTTCACACTGCACTCAGTATAACGTCAGCTTGGTAATATTCAAATCCTGATCAGACAAACTAGTGGTGGATACAATGAACAACAACGCCAGTACGTCGACAAGCAATCAGCCAAGTCACCGAACCCCATACAACGACCAGCAACTAATGTTCCCAGTGTTTGTCGGTATGTTGCTTTTGTTATATTTGGTGTTAGACGACTTTAATTCTTGTGACATAAATTTACTTTGAAATGACTACTGTCCTCAAGAAATATTAAATTCAAGAGTTTCAAACAAATGACATATTTTGTAATATTAGAAGGAATGTATAGTCTTCACGTTACCTTGAGGAACATGCACATCAACTGAAAATATAAGTGCCACAAAAAGATGAGATCAACATCATAGAAAGTACACATAATGCATATATAAACGTTTTTAATGGAACAAAACATATGTTAAGTGAAGTTGATAAAAGGGAGTCGATAACTCGGGCAAAGGAATACTAGTCGTGAAATATGTCCCTCAACATGTCATGGTCTATACTCCACGGTCTTTCAAGACAATGTTGCTATAGTTACCGTCGCTTGGTTGAGTAGCCGCTATTTTTAACCAACCAATAAAGTCACAGCCTGGTTTCAGCCAGAGCGAAACCGACAGGTTACTAGGACCAAATAGGGCATACGTAACTCTGCACTATTGTGCATTTTTTCTTTCTTTTCTTTTCATTTTTTGTAATTAATATTTTATTTCTGGAGTCCCTGTTACATACAAAACCAGATACCCAGGGCAGTGCTTGGTTCATATCAGATATGAAACATGGGCAACATTAGAAGAAGATACAAAGCAAGATTATATAGAATTATAAAGCAAAAATATTGTTATCTATCTATCTATATTTATTTATCTGTTAGTGAGGTTCATATTAAATGTATGACATTATGGGCTAAGATATGTTTGAAATTTAACGCTGACACAGACACTCATTCACACTCAGCTTCACTCACATTCAGCACTAAACTATAACAAAGTTGTACCAAAGCCACATCAGAACATACATTTAAGCAATCTAGAATTGCACTCATTAAATCAAGACCACCTGGCGTGTAGATATCGACATATGTACATCAGCTAGTTTCATGGTACAATCCACTAAGTACATTACTTCGCTTGTTGGCCTTTGCTATAAGCAATATTTCATTCATTGATATGCCTGTTGGGATATAATGTTTAAAGTGTTTTCATATCTAAAGTTGTTTTCACCAACTTTTATACATTTATAGATAATGAATTTATCTGAAAGCAAAGGTCAAACTAAAGTAGGTCAAACACATCAGTATATATATTTCAGTATATATATCAGATCAAACAGAATAAGCTGAAGGTCAAATTTCAAATTAAGGATTTGTGGGCGCTTATCATAAAGTAAAGGTACTGATTGTAATCAGTGTTATTGATTCAACTTTACATTGAAACAAAACCCAAGAATTACACTCAGTTAAGTTGATTTTATATAAACATGAGTTAGTTGATAGTTACTGAAACCATCTCAACTCGGTATCTAAAGTAGTCTTATATAAAAATATATTTTCCCACTTTCAGCAGAGAGAACACATTCCTCACACTTCAGATTACATTTTAGAAGAGTATCACATGCATTCAAGATAAAATATTAACACTTCTTAACTCCAACACCTTTCCTAACTGATAGCAGTTTCCTGACAACAGGATTATCATCCAGTTGGACAAAAGATGGGGGTTGACATATGTTCAACTCATCCTGGTATTTTCTTTATAGCCTGGGTTAACCCTCGATAAAGAAGGAAGTTGGTATTAAGTTGAAAAGTGCATTGGATTTGTTCAAGAGTTAGTTAGTTTCCTTCAGGTTTATCTCGTACTTGGCTGATACCTCTATCAAACCATTTAGAATAAAAGATAATCTCTTTACCAATGGTGATATCTTTGTTGTAAAGTCATCAAATGACCCAGGCGGTATATTCTTTGAGAACTTATCAAACGCAAAGACAGTATCCAACCCAAAAACATTATTGATTTTATAATGCTTTAGCTCGAAAAGTACTGCCTTTCCATTTTGATTCAGTTTTCTCATACAAGATAGCTTCAATTAACTAACATAGGACAAGACTTGAACCATACCAAGACCACTCTCTTTCATATGTTTACACGTATCTGGTTTCCCACTCCAATGAAATGTAATTAACATTTTATTCAACTCCTTCAGGAAATAACCAGGAGGGCTTAGGTAGTGCTAGAAATAGTAAGTTTAATTTTGAAAGGAATAAAGCCTTGATAACAGCAATTCTACCGAGGAGAGTAGTGATTCTTTTCATTCATCTTTTATTATTAAATGAATTTTAAAAAATTATATCTGTTGAAAAAACAACTCCTAGTAACCATTCTGGATTCCACTCAATATTTGTCAACCTTGCTCTATTATTCTTCCTGGAACCTTTCAATATTACTTGAGATTTGTCATTATTGATTTTAAGCCTGCCATGTCAGCAGACATGTGTCTATTGTGTCAACTGTAGCTTCAAAAAGATCCTCGAGAATCTCCTAATATAAACGCTATACCATCTGCATTTTGTGATAACAGGTATTCTTCCTCTCTTACTCTACGTGCTGTGATAATCACATTTTCCTGACAAATCCTGCATTGTCCATTTCTTGTGCCACAGCCTACTTATTGCTTCCCTTTTAGGCAATCGTAGGGATCGCACATTTCATGCGATTTACTTATATTTTTTTTATTTACTTCCTTGAGGCATGCACGCAAATCGTAGATACGCTTCATATTTCACAAGCCCAATGTATTCACGGGTGACTGATTTACGTGGTAAACACAATGAACCACTGAGTGTATTGCATCGTACCTGTACATTCCTCTATACTCAGGAAGACCTCCCGGGTGTGGACTTGCCCTTGGGACATGCATGACAAGATGTCGCCGCCGTGATGTTTGCTGTAGCGGCCAATGTCACATCGTTCACAGTAGCCATTGATATAGAAGGTTCCAGGACCACAAGGAACTAAATAACAAACGTTGAATTGTGTCTTGAGATCCCTTCGAATTTATTATATACTCAGTTCTTAAACATTTCATGAACGTGACAGGATATATGTAAATACTGTCAATACAGATTAAAAAAATAACTTTACATTTCATTAATCAGATTTCCGTTTCAAATAATTCGGTTACCTGAGTAAGCGGCCAATAGTTTAAAATATCACATTTTATTAATCACATTTCCATTTAAAATATTTCTGAATAAATCAAATTCGGTTACCTGAGTAAGCGGCCAATAGTTTTAAATATCACATTTTATTAATCACATTTCCATTTAAAATATTTCTGAATAAATCAAATTCGGTTATCTGAATAAGCGGCCAATAGTTTTAAATATCACATTTTATTAATCACATTTCCATTTAAAATATTTCTGAATAAATCAAATTCGGTTACCTGAGTAAGCGGCCAATAGTTTTAAATATCACATTTTATTAATCACATTTCCATTTAAAATATTTCTGAATAAATCAAATTCGGTTATCTGAATAAGCGGCCAATAGTTTTAAATATCACATTTTATTAATCACATTTCCATTTAAAAGATTTCTGAATAAATCAAATTCGGTTACCTGAGTAAACGGCCAATAGTTTTAAATATCACATTTTATTAAGCACATTTCCATTTAAAATATTTCTGAATAAAATCAAATTCGGTCATCTGAATAAGCGACCAATAGTTTTAAATATCACATTTTATTAATCACATTTCCATTTAAAAAATTACAGAATAAATCAAATTCGGTTATCTGAATAAGCGGCCAATAGTTTTAAATATCACATTTTATTAAGCACATTTCCATTTAAAAGATTTCTGAATCAATTAAATTCGGTTATCTGAATAAGCGGCCAATAGTTTTAGATATCACATTTTATTAATCACATTTCCATTTTAAAATATTTCTGAATAAATCAAATTCCTCCATTCGGTTATCTGAGTACGCGGCCAATAGTTTTAAATATCACATTTTATTAATCACATTTCCATTTAAAAGATTTCTGAATAAATCAAATTCGGTTATCTGAATTAGCGGCCAATAGTTTTTAAATATCACATTTTATTAAGCACATTTCCATTAAAAATATTTCTGAATAAATCAAATTCGGTTATCTGAATAAGCGGCCAATAGTTTTAAATATCACATTTTATTAATCACATTTCCATTTAAAAGATTTCTGAATAAATCAAATTCGGTTATCTGAATTAGCGGCCAATAGTTTTAAATATCACATTTTATTAATCACATTTCCATTTAAAATATTTCTGAATAAATTAAATTCGGTTATCTGAGTAAACGGCCAATAGTTTTAAATATCACATTTTATTAATCACATTTCCATTTAAGACATTACTGAATAAATCAAATTCGGTTATCTGAATAAGCGGCCAATAGTTTTAAATATCACATTTTATTAAGCACATTTCCATTTAAAAGATTTCTGAATCAGTTAAATTCGGTTATCTGAATAAGCGGCCAATAGTTTTAGATATCACATTTTATTAAGCACATTTGCATTTAAAATATTTCTGAATAAATCAAATTCGGTTATCTGAGTACGCGGCCAATAGTTTTAAATATCACATTTTATTAATCACATTTCCATTTAAAAGATTTCTGAATAAATCAAATTCGGTTATCTGAATTAGCGGCCAATAGTTTTAAATATCACATTTTATTAATCACATTTCCATTAAAAATATTTCTGAATAAATCAAATTCGGTTATCTGAGTAAGCGGCCAATAGTTTTAAATATCACATTTTATTAATCACATTTCCATTTAAAATATTTCTGAATAAATTAAATTCGGTTATCTGAATAAGCGGCCAATAGTTTTAAATATCACATTTTATTAATCACATTTCCATTTAAAATATTTCTGAATAAATCAAATTCGGTTATCTGAGTAAACGGCCAATAGTTTTAAATATCACATTTTATTAATCACATTTGCATTTAAAATATTTCTGAATAAATCAAATTCGGTTATTCTGAATAAAGCGGCCAATAGTTTTAAATATCACATTTTATTAAGCACATTTCCATTAAAAATATTTCTGAATAAATCAAATTCGGTTATCTGAATAAGCGGCCAATAGTTTTTAATATCACATTTTATTAATCACATTTCCATTTAAAATATTTCTGAATAAATCAAATTCGGTTATCTGAGTAAACGGCCAATAGTTTTAAATATCACATTTTATTAAGCACATTTCCATTTAAAATATTTCTGAATAAATCAAATTCGGTCATCTGAATAAGCGACCAATAGTTTTAAATATCACATTTTATTAATCACATTTCCATTTAAGACATTACTGAATAAATAAAATTCGGTTATCTGAATAAGCGGCCAATAGTTTTAAATATCACATTTTCTTACGCACATTTCCATTTAAAGATTTCTGAATAAATTAAATTCGGTTATCTGAATAAGCGGCCAATAGTTTTAAATATCACATTTTATTAAGCACATTTCCATTTAAAAGATTTCTGAATAAATCAAATTCGGTTATCTGAGTACGCGGCCAATAGTTTTAAATATCACATTTTATTAAG